AAGTTAGGTCAAAATCCTCACCAAAACTAGGGCAAAATTTCACTAAGTGTTCAATTTCAAGACCAGGACTTTATGAATTAATAACTTGAGATCCAAGAATTTTTAGAAGAAGTTGTGTAAATAAATGTTTTATATATCATGGAGATCTACAACTTTCATGTTGAAAGTTTCTTTTGAATCATCTTGCATCATGGTGAAAATTTGGCTCAAAGTTGTGAAAAAACATGAATTTTTAAACACTTAGAAAAATTTCTAAGTTAGAAAACTTTGACTTTTCAAAGTGAAATATTGACTTTTTGATTTCTTGATGAATAAGTTTCATATTTTGACACCTTTTGAGGAATTATGATCTTTGACATTGGATTTTGACCAAAAAAGTCAAAGTTTGACTTTTCAGTGTACAATTGACTTTTGATCAGTTGACTGAGAATTCACTATCAATCCAATTGATCTTGAGCAATGTTTTAGGTCATGCCATTAGGTCAAAAAGATGCAATTGAAATCTTGAAACCATTATTCAAACCAATTGACCATTTGCTAGGTCAAAAATCAGAAATTGCCCTTTCTTAGTCAAAACCCTAATTTTGACCATTTTGCCCTTTTGATGATTTGATCAGATTCCTGTAGGAGTTATGGTCCAAACTTGATCAAATTATACATATGAGTTTATTATATTGATGTTGATAAAAAATTATGAAGTTTGACTATAAATTGGCCATAGTTGACTTTTTTCTCAATACAACTGATTTTAGGTCAACTGCTCAATTGACTGAGCAAAAGTGTGATCCAAGGCTTGAAACTTGACATGAGTAATATTGGTGGTCCATAATGATCCATGAAGGTCATATGAAGCACTAAAAGTTCAATTATCCTTGTGCAATCTCAAACCCTAATTTTAGTCACCAGTGCTTAAGGAGGTGTCTTGAGCTGACTAAACCTAATGCAATCTTGAACCAAGAGAGATCTTTGTGAGAAAATATTTGATAATTGAGAGGGAAAATTTTGGGGTACAACAATATGAAACATGATTTTAAATGCGTGTTATGAGCATGACCGGTGTATTTGTGTTGGTTTTGAAGTACATGTGACACCCTCTTTTGATGTGCATACTAATTTACTCTGATTATACTATATTATTGTGCAGGGGTTTAGATGGGATGTTACATTAGTGGTATCAGAGCCTGGTTGGCCAGTTGGCCAGATTATTAATATGTTTATTTCCTTTTTGTATTTGGTATTGTATATGACACAATCGATATTGTTTTTCTGATGAGCATTGTTGGTTGATTAAAAATATCAAGACGATGGTTTTAGGAAGGAATGACGATGTTATTATTGAGGCGTTGGCAATGTTAGCCAGTGCGATTAGGAAACTGCCGTACGTTAATGCTGGCAACATAGATGATGATGAATTTCTTGCTTTGGGGAAATTCCAGAAGAACAATTCGCCAATATTTGAAGGAGCTCATGAACGTGACAAAGAACAAGTATGTATGAAAGAGATTGAGAAGATATTACGAGTCATAAATTGTTCGGATGCGCAGAAGGTGCAGTTTGGCACCCATATGCTTGAGAAGGAAGTTGAGGATTGGTAGAGTAATACTGTTCAAAGCTTTGAAAAATATGGGATTGAGGTTACTTGGTCATTTTTCAGAGATTCATTTCTGGAGAAGTATTTTCCAGAGGATGTGCGTGGGAAGAAGGAGATTGAGTTTCTTAGGCTTAAGTAGGGTAATGGAATTGTGGTTGAGTATGCTGCAAAGTTTGAGGAGTTGATTAAGTCTTATCCTCATTACAACACTGTTGATGCTGAGAGATCTAAGTGTCTTAAGTTTGTGAATGTTTTGAGACCTGAGATCAAGAAGGCTATGGGTTATCAGCATATTAAACAATTTTATGAAGTGGTTAATAAGAGTAGGATCTATTATGAGGATATTAGAGATAATGCTGCTCACTATAAGTCTTTGAATGATAAGAATGGAAAAGGCCAATTTATAGGAAAGCCATATGTGACTCCTACTGATAAGGGGAAATAAAAAGCTGGTTATGATAGTAATCCGAGTGGGGGAGGATCTCCTAATCCGGTTAAGTGCTACAGGTGTGGTGTTGAAGGACATCGTGCTACTGAGTGCATAAGTCCTAATGTGAAGTGTTTCAAGCGTGGCAATCTAGGTCAAAAATATCATGATTGCAAAGGAGGTACAAGTGTGACTTGCTACAACTGTGGTGAGAAGGGTCACATTAGTACCAATTGTGACAAGCCTAAGAAGTAACAAGATAAAGGGAAAGTGTTTGCTCTATATGGTTCTGAGACTGCTGCTAAAGATAGACTAATCCGAGGTACGTGCTTTATTATAGTACACCTTTGATTTCTATTATTGATGTTAGCGCGACAAATTATTTCATTTCTTTGGATTGTGTTAAGAGATTGAATCTTGAGTTATCTGATACGAATAGAAGTATGGTTATTGACACTCCTGCTATGGGTTCAGTGTCTACTTAATATGTGTGTTTGAATTGTCCGTTGAGTATTTTTGGTAAATACTTTAGAGTTGATCTGGTGTATCTTCTGTTAGATCAACTTGATGTTATTCTTGGGATGAACTGATTGGAATAAACCCATGTTTATATCATATTTTTTTAACAAGACAATTATTTTATTGATTCTGGTTTTTAGAGATATTTGTTTATGTCTGCCAAGCAACTGAATGAGTCTGTGCAGAATAGTGTTGTGTTATTGGCTTTGATAGAGACATTGAATATTGGCGAGGAACAAATGATAGGTGAATTAGAAATAGTTCTTGATTTTCCTGAGGTATTTCCTGAAAATGTAAGTGACTTATCGCCAGAGCGTGAGATGGAGTTTACGATTGACTTAATTCTTGGAACTAGTCCGGTATCAATGGCGCCATACTGAATGTCGGCATCTGAATTGAAAGAGTTGAAGAGTCAACTTGAGGATTTTCTTGAGAAGAGATTCATTTGTCCTAGTGTGTCACTGTGGGGTGCACCAGTTTTGTTGGTTAAGAAGAGAGAAGGTACTATGAGGTTATGTGGGAATTATAGACAACTCAACAAGGTGACTATCAAGAATAAGTATCCACTTCCGAGGATTGATGATTTGATAGATCAGTTGGTTGGTTCAAGTGTGTTTAGTAAGATATATTTAAGGTCTGGGTATCATCAGATTATTGTAAAGGCTGGAGATATTCAGAAGACTTCTTTTAGAACAAGTTATGGTCATTATGAGTATTCTGTAATGTCGTTGGGTGTGACCAATGCACCTGGTGTATTTATGGAATACACAAACAGGATTTTCCATCAGTATTTGGATAAGTTTGTTGTTGTTTTCATTGTTGATATTTTGATATATTCGAAGAGTGAAGAGGATCTTTGAAGTGACCGGAAAAAAAACACATAAAGCCGCCACCAAACTTTATTTATCTCGAAGGAAGGGGAAATATCGAGAAAACCCCAAGAGGATGGATAAGATAGTATTGTGATCAAAAGAGAGGGTACAAAAGTCGATTATGTGAGGGGAAGGTATTATCACCCCTCACATTCGTTGTACTCAACGGGATCCATTTCGATTGTTTGTTTTTAAGGGTGCATCTATTAGTGCGTTCGTGAGGGTATCACAACCCTTTTCCTACGTATCCCATGAAGGAATTAGAATACCGTAGTTCTTCAAGAAAATTTTGGTTTGTTGGTGTTTTTTAGTGGGTGACGCTAACACATGCATTCTAACAATAGGCATGGCCTGTATCGCGGTAGAATGGAGATAACATGCCCTTTTGAAGAAATCTATGATTTGCTGAATGTTTTTGTTAAGTGTGAAATGAGTTTGAATAACGATTAAGTGTATTTTTTTTGGTATTTTGATTTAAGAAAAGAACATTTTAATTAGAAATGATGCAATGCAAAAGAAAAGTCTAAGGAAAGCTAAAACCCTAATGTGATCATAACAAGATAGAGTTGAAGTTGAGTTTATGTAGGGGATTCTAACCTAAAGATGTTATCATGCTTAAGTCTATCCTAAAATTCTATTCAACTAAAAAACGATCAAATGAAAATTAATCGCTTCATGGAATCACTTAAGGGAACATGTTATCAAGATTTAACCAAGCAATCAAACAAATAAAAAAATAACAGAAATACAAAGCTAATATATATTTTTGTGTGATTTTTATCGAGTAAAGAAATGAAATGTAACTACCTAATTAATTAAAGATGTTAACTTAAACAAAAAAAGTAAGATTCATAGAATTACTAAATTAATTCTAAAACTAAATCTAATTAAAAAAATACATGATTATTTACTTGATTTTAATAGAAAATTAAACTAGGTAGTTAAAATAATAAAGCTAAGAAAGTTATAAAAAATAAATAAGGATAAACTACATAAAACATAGGGTGCAGAATGAGAATTTCGGATCGGGCTTTCTGGGGAAATTTCAAACAGGCCCAAGATACACTATAAAACATGTTAAGAACAAACATTGCTGGGGCAGACCGGGTTGAACCAGATCCGAACCCAGCTCCTACTAACAAAAAAAAACACGGGTTGGAAACCCTAGTAACATCAAACCAACGCCTCAAATTCTCAAAATAGTTTCCTTTGTTCTCTACCTTACGGTTTGTTTCTCAACCTTAAAACAAAACAAAAGTGACAACACTCCTCTCGGAAAATACCCCTCCATTGGAACGACTCAAAGATAATAACAATATCACCCTTAACTTGCTCTCTTGATACACTTCTCTCCTCTACTTAATCGCTCAAGGTTTTTGGAAACAAAATTAAGTTTACTTCGTGAGTTTTCTTCTACTTCTTTGATCTTAGTCTACTTCTTCTTTGTGAGACTTTCGAATTTGTGTTGTTGTTGGCTTCATTTGTTGTGTATGAATATGCGTGGAATTATGTTGCAGGTGTGATTTAGGAGGGAATCCAACTCAACTAGATTTATAGCTTGTATACGTCAAGAACAAACCCTCGAAGATGGATGAGCGATTCAAGCATTGAGAAAGAGTTTATGAACCTAATTCTTCAGCTTAGTTTGAAAAGGCAACCGGTTATGTCGTTGTTCTATCTCAAAGATGAGCTCAGAGGTGGTTCACGATTGGAACTCCTCTTGAGTAGCTGGAAACAACAAACTAGCTATAACAAAATTGAAGATGATAGATTGAATTACCTACGACGAGGAGGTTTTTTTCCAGATTATTCATTGAGGTACGATTTCTTTCTTTTGTCTCTTCTTTTACTTTTTGATTCTTCTACTCCATCTATTTATTTATCTGCTTCAATTGTTGATATGTTGTATGCTTCTGTATGAGTTTGCATCGTTGTTACTTTTGGATGTGTTGTAATGTGGTAGGTTTGTAAGTTTTGCTGAGGCTTTGTAGCACAGGCTTTGAAAGTTTGTGCGTTGAAGGTGACGATTTAGTTGTTGTGTCGAGTTTGTGTGGTCTGCACCGAATGAAATGAAGTTATGAATTAGTTGATGATGGAGAGGATTGAGGTCTGATGTAGTAAGGTTTTATGGGTATGAGGTTATGAGTTATGAGGTTGTTGTAGAGGTTTTGCTGGTGAAGTAGGGAGTTATGATATAATTTTGAGTAAGCTTCTTTATTGATTTTATCTCTGGTTTTTGTTGTGAGTAGTTGTATGCATGGTTGTTTCTTATAGTGAATGAGGATAGGTTTTGGGGGGAAGATTTGATAAGTTTTGAACAATTTTGTAGGCTGATTTGTTTCTTTCTTGATACAGTTTTGTGTGATATGATTTTATGAAATTATTGGTTCTCTTAGTGCAGGTTTGGGACAGCAATAACACAAGTTATGCAGGGATGGGCTTTGGAGGTTTACGACAACAATAGCAGGTTGTTTTGGATAAGTATTCAAACTGGTTTCAGACAACAGTATTTTGGATTTTTTGACTGTTTTGCAGTGTGATACAGGGTTAGTTTTAGATTACTTTATGCAAGATAGGGACAAGGCATTTGGGGCAGCAGGTATGTGCATTAGTTGTGGACAATTTTCTTTTACTTTTGGATCTTTATACAATTTGATGCAAGTTTTCAGAGTTTTAGAACAAATCTACATAGCATTTTCTATCAAATGCAGGTTGCAGGTTTAATACCATGACATGGCTTCATTGCAACAGGTTTTGGACAGTATTGCAAGCTATTTTTGTAGGGCTATTTTTGTTTGGTTTTGACTATTTTGATAGCATGTTTTACGGTAGGCTGGGAAAAGGGTGTAACAGGTTTTGGTTTGTGTTGAGAACATGTATGTATAGGAGCAACAAGGCTGGTTTTGGCTGTAGCATAATTTGGAAGGGTTTGGCATGTCCTTATGTTACAAGGTTTGAAGTAAGGAAAATGGAGAAGGCTTGAAGAACAAGCTTGAAACAAAACTTTAGGATAGGCGACTCATAAATAAATAGGCTTGGTTAAGAACTTCCTATTTTGCTTATTCTCATGTAATTATTGTAGTAGCTCTTGCAATCTTTTAATAACTTGTATATTAACAATAACTTATACAAATCTCGATGTTTGATGAAATTTTCCTTGTCTGAACCTGTGTGTCTCTTTTCTTTTTCTCAATTAAGTTCCTCTTTGGAATAATACTTGATCCTAAGTGTATCATAAACGCCACCGAATCTTTGAGGTTCTTGATCAAAATGTAACAGGGCAACTGTATATGTCTTAATTGTTATCTTCTCACATGATAGCTTTTGTGCCAACCTTGTAATTTTGTAACGAATGATGATTCCAAAGAATGAAATAGTGCGAAGATACTTGGAACTCGAAAATGAATCTTGATTAATTCTCATGCTTGTAATCTAATGAACATTGATGGAATGTGATGAATATGGCCATGGATGAAATTTGACAAGATTCGAATACAACTATGATTCTTGAATTCCAATCTTGATTTCTTTAAAGTTAAAAGTTTATTTCTTCCAATCTTTTGTAAATTTGCACTATTGGTCATCGTCACTGTAATATGGTGGAAGAACTGACTTGGGTGTTTTACGTTTTATCGCAGTTGTTGCTGATAGAAAGAGTCGCCACCGACTTTTATTTTATCCAATAAATGAAAGGGTGAAAAGAATAGGAAAGACCTTTTGAGAATTTTCTTTAGTTAGGGGGGTAGGTTATGAAAAGGGAAGGTATTAGCACCCTTTTCATCTGTAGTTATCTACGGGCTCGTAGTTGCTAGCTCACTTTGAAATTCTTTTGTAAATGTTTATGTGATTTGTGTAAGTTTGAAAATATTTTGAAAGCGCCTTTGTTTCGACAAACTTTTTAATGATTCTCGTTTCAGCGAGAATGTATACAAAGTGTTGGTTTTGAAAATAGTTCAAAGAGATGTTTGTTTTTGGAAAGATGTTTTGAAAGTGTGAGTGTAAAGATGGTTTTGTTTGAGATCAAGAAACTACGAGTATTCTACCTACTCAAAAAGTCTTTGTTCTTTTCCTCCTCCTTTAGATATTACTATCTTACCATTGATTGGTAATAAGCCCTATCATTAGACGTGAAGGGACAAACGTGGGTCATCGTACAATCATAGAAGGCCACTTTATATGATACCTTAGCAATTTGTCTTAAGGGACTAAGATCGTTTACCGAAGGCAACATCGAAGGGTCATCGAGGGACTACGATCTTGTAATCGAGGGTCTTTGCTTAAAGTATCCCACGTTTGAGGGACATGACTGTTTTACTCTAAGGAAACAAGTGTGGATTAACCCTAGAGGTGCATGTGTGAAAGTGTATTATTTTTATACATTTTGTCTTGAATTAGGGCTATCTATTATTTGATTTTACGTATTTTCATACAAACCCTAATTACTAGCAATAATATGGAAAGCGATAAATTGCGGGAATTGAAATTTCTATGCTATTACATCATTTTATGGGATGGGGATACAAATTACAAATGAAAATGAAAGCAATTAAAACCTAGTTACTATTACAACCAAATTGAATAATGAAAAATAAAATGTACAAGAATATAAAGGAAATGTAAAAGAAAAGAAATTTGTTTTTTATGGTTTTTTGTATGAAAAAGTTTTAAAGTTGATAAAACAAAGGGGTTAATTAATTAGATTCCTAAATTATAAGTTAATTTAAATTAAAATATAAAATTAAAACAAAATCTAAGTCTAAATTTATTTTAATTAAATTAAGAAGGAACATATTCTTTTGAGTTTTTGTTTAAAATAAATGAAATAAAAATAGAAATAAACTAATAATAATTTTAGTCTAAATATTTAATAAAAATATATTTTTGTATTTTTTAATAAAATAATAATAAAAATAAAAATAAGAATAATAAAAGAAAGAAAATAAAATAAAATGAAAATATAAAAAAATGTCAGGGGTTAGAAAAGCAGAAGGGTTAGAAAATAATAATAAGGAAAATAGTTTTTGTTTGGCTTAGGCCCAACCTGATTTTTGCGTAAGTCAGAAAAAAAAAATTAAAAAACCAAAATAAAATGGGCTGCGTGTTTTTAGAATTCAAGAGGGTGAGGGGAAATAAAATGAAAAAGCCCAAAAGAAGGAGGCCCAAGCGCGCGTGTCAAACAGAAAACAACGAACATAAAAAAATGTGAAAAATGCAAAAGGTCTCGCTGGGGCTCGAACCCAAGACCTTCTACACAAATGCCTTACGCGCGCTTCTCCTTCCACTGGGGTGGCTGTTTCATCCAGTATAAAGACAACTTGCAATAAATATAAGATAAAACAAGTCCATGACTGTACTTCATCTTCTTCCTCGCGCCAGCCATAACTCTGTAACTTTCTCAACTCTCAACCATTTTAAAAATTATAAACATCAAACTTGTTAGAAATTTCACCACGATTTCAAATATGTAAATAATTTAAGCAATGGATCAAAGATGAGCACGAATTTTAATTGGTACCAAATTTTACCTAATTTTTTCAGAAAGTTCAGGCTCAAAATTCTCACTACTCAGGCAACATAAATGAATTCTAAGGACATGGTTAGTTTCAGGGCTATAATGTCTACATTTTATATTTTAAAATGGAAGCTAAATGATGCTTGCATGAAGAGTTAGAATTTCAGAAAACTCACTTTGCAGATGGTGATTGTGTTTTGAGTTAGAGCTCACTTCAAGGTACTGCAATGATCTAGTTAGCATCCTTGAAATTCCAGCAAGTTATTCCAATAGTTACTTTAAGCTAAGAGTGTCTGAAATATTCTAGAGAAGTCAATGTGCAAACTTCTATTTTTGAAAATGGAGGATTGTGAAGATGGAGTTACAGAAGGGTAACAAGTATTGGGACAACTTCTATATGTATTATAGAAGCATGGTGAATGAAAAGAATGGAAAATGCACGAGTGGTTTGTGAGATGGCTATCAAAAATCAGAAATGGCACAAAAGTGAGGCTTGAGAGTAATTATGAGTTTGAGAGATTTTTTGCGAGTTTTCAGGCTTGTAATTTCGTGTCCTAGGCTTGTGAATTAAGGTTCAACTTATAGACAAAGGTTTGGAAGCTTGGAGGGGTCAGAAGCAAGAGTTCAAATGTTATGGCCATTTGACTTGTTTTTGAAGCAAGCTTGACAAGTATTGTTCCAAGGCAAGGTACAAGGCTATCTAAAGTGGTTATACACTTTAAACATGTTTATATAATTGTGTAGAGGATGCTTGTGCATAAATAACAAGTGCAATGCTCAAGACAAGTTTACTTTGTGATTAAAGCCACTTTACTAGAATGGTAATGTTACTTTGTGCCATTAATGGAAATGCAACTTGGATAATGGTTCAAATGCTTGGACAATTGTTCTAATAGTTGTTTAATCAATTGATTATGGAGTGAAACACAAGTTAGAAGCCTGAAAAGTAAAGTTATGCAGCATAGCTATGAGATTAGGTTATGTGTTCTTCATGAAAATGACTTGTAATTCAAGAATGGATGCCCAATTTTTTCTCTTAGCTCAAAAATGATATCTTTAAGTTCTATGACATTTTATAAAGCTTGAAACATCCTATACAACTTTAATGTTTTCCACTTTTGCTAAATAAAATTGGATCTATGTGAAAAATGACAAAGAAGTTGGGACAAAAAATCTACCTAAACTAGGTCAAAATTTCACTAAGTGTTTAAGAAAAAGTGCATGACTTCATGGGCCTATAACTCAAAATCTAAGCATTTTTTGGACATGATCCCTCAAATAAAAAGTTGTATATTTCATCAAGATCTACAAATTTCATGTTGAAAGTTTTCTTTGAATCATCTTGCATCTTGGTGAAAAATTGGCATGAAGTAGTGAAATTATCATGTACAAAAACACTTAGAAAAATTTCTAAGTCTTGAAAAGTTTGACTTTTTAAATTGACTTCTGACTTTCTTGATTTCTTGATGATCAAGCTTCATATTTTTTAATGTCATAATGAATCTTAACTTTTGAAAGTCAATTTTGATCAAAAAGTCAAAGTTTGACTTTTGGTGTATTAGTTGACTTTTTCCTAAGTTGACCAAATTTCAACTATCAATCAATTGATCTTGAGAGATGAATTGAGTCATGAAATTAGGTAAAAATGATGTACTTGAATCCTTGAGATCATGTTTCAAATCAATAAGTCATGCATTAGGTTAAAAGTTAAGAATCAGTCATTCTAATAAAAAAACCCTAATTTTGACCATTTTGACCTTTTGATGATTTGAACATTTTTCTTGGGGAATTATGGTCCAAACTTGATCAATTGGTGAATATGAATTCAAAATGTTGATATTGGTCAAAAAATCCTGAGGTTTGACTGTAAGTTGACCATAGTTGACTTTTTACCCAATACAGCTGATTTTCAATCATTTAGTTAATTGACTGAGCAAAATTGCGATTCAAGACATGAAACTTGACATGAGTATTCTTGGAGGTCTATAATGATCCATGAAGGTCATTTGAGGCATTAGAAATCCAACTTTCCTTGTGAAAATCAAAACCCTAATTTGAGGCATCAGTGTTTAGGAGGTGGTTTGACCTAGTTAACACTTGTGCAAACTTGAGCCATTGAAGATTTTATGAGAAATATATTGAGAAAAGAGAGGGAAATTTTTGGGGTACAACAGTCACCAATGATAAAAAAGAGATAATTAAACTTGAACTTTTGCCTAAAACTTCATAGTCATTGAATCCAAATCGAACACTCACATGCCATGTTTGATCAATAAAACCTAATCTCATGATTGAATCTCAAGCTACGATACCTTGCAAACCAAACCTCAATTAATTAAATAATATGTGAAAGAAAACCTAATTTGACCGCTTCTTGAATCGTCTTGACGAAATATTTATATTGAGATGTTGAAAAAATGCCCAAGCCTTAGCTCATGCTTGATGATTTCTCAAGAAGAAACTTTGTTGGA